ATGTTAAACGGTACATTCTGAATAACGGGCCATGCAAGCCTGAAGGGCCATTCAAAAGGGATGGGAAGGGAAGGTGCTTTTCAAAAGAGTTCTATAACAAAACATCCAAAATTGGATGTAGAATTCCACGAAAGTGGCTATGTTACTCGCCATCTATGGACCGGGTGTACTGTGAGCAGTGCTGGCTGTTCGGTGACAGACCGTCTGCCCATCACCTCCACCAAGCGTGGAGAATAGGAATAAATGATTGGCAGGGTCTCTCTAAAAAGATTAAGGAACACGAATTCTCTCGCTCTCATTTGGCAGCATGTGTCGTGTATGATACGTGGAAAAATAATCTGACCATTGACGCGCAAATATCATCTGAGTTTAAGAGAGAGGTGGGGTTTTGGACCGAGGTCCTAACCAGAATAACTGATGTTACGCTAACACTGGCCTCTCGCAACTCTGCTTTCCGGGGTCACAGAGAGAAAATAGGTGATATAGATAATGGTAATTTCTTATCTACCATAGAACTTATGGCGCGTTATGATCCAGTTCTGCAAAGGCTTATTGAAAGCAAAAAGAAGGTGCACTACCTAAGTCCTCAAACTCAAAACGAAATAATTTCATTGCTATCGAAAAAAGTGCAGGACACAATCATTACAGACATACAGAATGCAGAATTCTATTCGATTATAATGGATACTACCCAGGACATTTCAAAAGTAGACCAACTGAGTCAAGTGTTCAGATATGTTACTATAGCAAATGATGAAAATGGAAACCCTACAGAGGTGAAAATAAACGAACGTTTTTTGGGCTTCCATGCAGTCACAGACCAAACTGCTGCAGGTCTAGAGAGAGAAATTCTCGAATCGATGGAGAGAAAGGGGATACTACTTGGGAAGTGCCGCGGACAAGGATATGACGGGGCTAGCAATATGAGTGGCGTCTACTCCGGTGTACAAAAACGCATAAGGGATAAAGAGCCCAACGCAGTGTACATTCATTGTGCTGCGCACAATTTAAACCTTGTACTCAATGACGCATGCCAAAATATACCTGAGATAAAAGACTTCTACGACACTGTTGAAAGGCTATATGTATTCTTTAGTGGAAGCATCAAACGATGGGAGCTTTTGGAAACACACCTCTCAGTGCCCAAGGCTGGCCAGCCTACACTGAAGAGACTATGCCCGACACGATGGGCATCAAGACAAGACGCCGTCCAATCATTGCGGTTCCATTATGCTGACATTATGCAAGCGCTAACTAAGATAGACTTGCTCTCCAAAAAAAGCGAGGAACGTGCCGAGGCGACTGGCTTGAAAAAAGCCATGGAGAGCTTTGAGTTTGTTGTAATGACTGTAATACAGGGCAAGGTCCTTGAAACAGTCAACATTGTGTCCCAAGCTCTCCAGCGCAAAGACGTGGACCTCTTACAGGCGACAGCAATGCTTGGTAACGCAACCGATACACTTGCCCAACTCCGAGGAGAGTTTGATGGCTTAAAAGCGCACGCGCAAGACCTGGCATCCTCATGGGGTGTCCACAGTCTCTTCAAAGACAGACGCGCAAGGCGCACAAAGAGGCACTTTTCAGAGCTTTGCGAGGACCAGCGGCTCCAAGACCCAGGGGAGCATTTTAGAGTGGCGGTATTTTACGCAAATATCGATATTGTCGTTGCCCAACTTAAAAATCGATTTGTTGGAATGAGCGAAGTTGCACAGCGATTTTCTTTTCTGCTTCCCCGCGAACTTTTGCACGCAACAGACAAGGATCTGTCTGAGTCCGCAAGTGCTTTATCAGGCCAGTATAAAGACGACCTGTCAGCCGAGTTTCCTTTCCAGATCCTGTCCCTCCGTAATGCTCTTAGGCCTACTATAAAGAAAATTGAGCGTGGAACAATCAAAGACCTTGCACAAACCCTGCTCATTGAAAATCAGTCCATTTTGCCAAGTATCCCGATGTTGCCACAGCACTGAAATTGTTTTTAACTATACCCGTGACTGTTGCCAGTGCTGAGAGATCTTTCTCAAAACTTAAATTAATAAAGACATATTTGAGGAGCACAATGTCGCAAGAGAGACTGTCTGGGTTAGCAGTCCTTAGTATTGAGAGCCGACGCGCGCGCAGTATAGATTTAAAGACTGTTATACAGGACTTTGCGCAGAAGAATGCCAGGAGACGTGCTCGTATAAAATAATAGGCCTACAAAGCAGCTCCTGATTGCATCCTCTTTGTAGCCTATATAGGATGTGTTTTATTTGCTTGTTTTTTGTAGGCTACTTTTCTTTTATACAGAATGTTATGTGAACCGTTCCGTTGTGTGAACTCCAATGATGATAGGCTATAACGTTCTACAATATACCTTCATGTTACAAAAAATACACAGCCACTTGTTTGTATTTGTCAATTATGTTTCAATCAGATGTATATTATTATACAGTTCCTACTGACCTTACTGTTTAAATCAGATGTATCTATACAGAAAGTTCCTACTGACCTATAGGCCTACTGTTTACAAAAGATGCCTGAAAAAATAAACATTTAAAAAAGTGGCCGCGATGTCTATCCCATGTCACTCTATTATTGATTTAGGGGAGGGGGCGGGGCCCCATGGTCCGACCTGCGGGGGAGCCCCGAAATATTGCGCAACGCCACTGATAACACCGGCTATTCCCCAGAGTTTGCCCCTTGGTCTCAAATCAGCTCCGCTGCAGACTCGGTGTTTGAGGGCTTGATAGCCCACTCCCGCTCCACACTCGTTGCTTTGGAACAGCCCTCAATATGGCGGACCCTCCGCGTGAACGCGCAAACGGAGGGGTAGGGTGTAGGGGGCGGTTTGGGAATGGGCCTTAGAAGAAGAAAAAGCTGAAGCTCTGTCGCGGAGATATGACGTAGGCCCCGGAAGCTGCTCAGAGTGCACGCGCCCTGTCTGCAGAGCTGGTGAGTCTATTGTTTTTAACTGTAAATCTTATATTATATAATATCCCCCCCGGTATCTGAGCCTGTATCTGCGGGTGCTCCGTCAGAGACAGGCTCCGGTTCTCATTAAAAACCAGCGTAGCACTAAACTGCTGTTGTTGTTGGCCCGTTAGCTGCTAACTGTTGTTAGCCTGTTAGCTGCTAACTGCTAACAGCAGCGCTGCATGTCTCCACAGCGATTAGCTTAGCTTAGTTTTAGGTTTATCTTATTTAGTGGAGGCTGTGTGTGAGTTTCCTCTGCTGTTGAGAGCAGAGGCCTGTACTACGAAGCCGGTTCAACATAACCTGGATATGTTTGAGTTACCCGCAGGGGCGGATCTAGACAAATATTCATAGAGTGGCCAGAGGGTGGCAGGATATTTTGAGGGATGGTGTCCCCTGGCAGAAGCATATGCTGATTTAATCGCAGTCATATCAACAATGTTAACTTGGAAAGCCACAATATTAATATTTTAACTCAACAACATTACAGTACATGTACAGTTTTGCTGCTGTGTTTATTGTATTTTGTTACTCTGGCACAACAAGTTCCTTCTGGATAAATAAAGTCTTATCTTATCTTAGGTGACATTATTGTGGCACATCAGTAAAGCCTTACATATAAATATATAAGGTGGCAGATATAATTGAATGAATTTTAACTGAACAATAACTGAATGAGTTTGTTTCACTCTTAGACCAGCAGGAGTACCAATCTATGCAGACTGCTGCAATAAGTACATTAATTAACTGTCTCATCGATGTTTGTCTGAATGAATATGAAACTATTAACAATCATATTATTCCTATCAGCTGTCAATCACTGTTATGATTCACATATTCATTTATTATTAAATAAACTATATATTGAATTGATTCGATTGGCTGACGCTTCCGTCGAAGCTTCAAAAGTTGAACATTGCTCTACTTTTGCAGCGAGCACCGCGAGAAAAGCTACGCTTTGCTCCCACAATGCAGTTCGGCGAAGCGTGACGTCACCCCATTCAAAGTGAATGGGCAGAAACGTTGAAGCTTCAACGCACGCCGCCGTGTGGACGGGCCGTCACTGGATGGCTCTCACCTGTATACAGATCACACTCACCTTCTTTTTCCCAATCTGACACTTCCTGTTTCTGTGTTTCAGTGAAACATGGACCCACACCTGGCCAGAGAGGGAGGAGAGAGAGGGGGGCGAGAGAGAGAGGGGGGAGAGCGAGAGGGGCGAGAGAGAGAGTGGGGCGAAAAAGAGGTGCGAGAGAGAGAGGGGGGCGAGAAAGAGGTGCGAGAGAGAGAGGGGGGCGAAAAAGAGGGACGAGAGGGACGAGAGAGAGAGGTGCGAGAGAGAGAGGGGGGGAGAGGGACGAGAGAGAGAGGTGCGAGAGAGAGAGGGGGGAGAGAATGAGGTGCGAGAGAGAGAGGGGGGAGAGACAGAGGTGCGAGAGAATGAGGGGGGAGAGAGAGAGGGGGGAGAGACAGAGGTACGAGAGACAGAGGTGCGAGAGAGAGAGGGGGGAGAGACAGAGGTACGAGAGACAGAGGTGCGAGAGAGAGAGGGGGGAGAGAGAGAGGGGCGAGAGAGACAGGGGCGAGAGAGAGCGGGGCGAGAGAGAGCGGGGCGAGAGAGAGCGGGGCTGAAGAGGAAACAGGAAGACGAAGAAACATCATCCAATGAGAAGCTGGTAGATACAAACTCTTTATTCATCAGGTGATTGATCAGTTCTCTCTCCTCAGGTGATTGATCAGTTCTCTCTCCTCAGGTGATTGATCAGTTCTCTCTCCTCAGGTGATTGATCAGTTCTCTCTCCTCAGGTGATTGATCAGTTCTCTCTCCTCAGGTGATTGATCAGTTCTCTCTCCTCAGGTGATTGATCAGTTCTCTCTCCTCAGGTGATTGATCAGTTCTCTCTCCTCAGGTGATTGATCAGTTCTCTCTCCTCAGGTGATTGATCAGTTCTCTCTCCTCAGGTGATTGATCAGTTCTCTCTCCTCAGGTGATTGATCAGTTCTCTCTCCTCAGGTGATTGATCAGTTCTCTCTCCTCAGGTGATTGATCAGTTCTCTCTCCTCAGGTGATTGATCACAGTGTGAAAGTGGCTCGTCACTACAACAGCTTGCAGGAAGTCGGTCTCGCGGCTCGGAGTCGAAGCAGGATTTTCTTCATGAGGAATTTTAACAACTGGCTGAAGAGCATCCTGATTGGTAACTCAATTAAAATACTAATCAAACCATCAATTAACACACCTTTAATCTATTTATTTGATTAATTGATTCATAATAAATAAGCTCAATTAAATGATCAGTTAATCAGTAGACAATACTATGGCGTGTTTCCACTGCAGGCCTCGCTCGGCCTCGCTCGGTTTGGTTAGGCCTTATTAGGCCCGGCTCACTTTAATGCTGCGTTTCCATTACAGTTGAGGAACTGGGGCAGTTACTATAGTAACGCAGTGTAGGCGGAGCCGTGACGTCATCTTCAATGAGCGCCCCAAAAAACAACACAGCCGTTAGCTGTTAGCCCTCAGAGCTCACAGCTCCTCATATCTGTTCAGAAACTAGACAGAAGTTAAACAAGTACAAACCACAGACTGCCTGTGTCATGGAGAATACAGTCGCTGCTTTATTTATGTCTGTATAGGCCGTTGTTGTGAGTGTGGACGGTCGGAGCATATATAACGTTAGCTTAGCCAAGCTACATTTAGAAAACCCGCATTTTAAAAGGTGTTTCTCTGCCGTCTGTCTGCAGACTCAAAGCATTAATTCATGGTTTTTACTAACCGGTATCAGTATGTTGTTACTTCGGCATCATTTTGAAACGTGGATTACAATTAAATCACGGTCAAATATGTTCATCTTGATGTAGTTGTAGCCCCCTTGCCAGCGATTCTCTCTCTAGTTTAGCATACTCAGCCCGACTCAGCCTGGTTGTTCCTGGCCCTAGAACCACCATTTAGTCGGGCCAGAAAAAAGTTGAAAAAGTAGCCCTGGGCCAAAACTAGGCCAAGTGGAAACGCAACCAAAAACGGGCCCCGCACGGCTCGGCACGCTTAAAGCGAGCTACCCGCTGCAGTGGAAACGTGCCACTAGAGAGTTCTTGCAGTTTACACTTCATGAATAATGAGGTTAAAATCAGACCACCACAGTGAGTCGGCTGATTGGCTGTGTGCTTGATTGACAGGTGAGGTTCTGGAGCAGGTGCGGGGGGCGGGCTCTCAGCAGGTGAGTGTGTTGGATCTTGGCTGTGGGAAAGGTGGTGATCTGCTGAAGTGGAGGAGAGGAGGAATCAATCACCTGGTCTGTGCAGGTAACTGTCCCGCTGCATTCTGATTGGCTGCTCTTCCCCTTCTGACCCTCTGTCTTCATCAATTATTTGATAATGTTGATCCTCAGATATCGCAGCCGTCTCTGTGGATCAGTGCGAGAGTCGCTATGAAGACATGAAGAAGAAGAGCTACGCTAACGAGAAGGTCTACAGCGCGCAGTTCATCAGTGCAGACTGCACCAAGGTAGAACCGCAGCACCTAGATCAGCTCACCAGGGTAGAACCGCAGCACCTAGATCAGCTCACCAAGGTAGAACCGCAGCACCTAGATCAGCTCACCAGGGTAGAACCGCAGCACCTAGATCAGCTCACCAAGGTAGAACCGCAGCACCTAGATCAGCTCACCAAGGTAGAACCGCAGCACCTAGATCAGCTCACCAAGGTAGAACCGCAGCACCTAGATCAGCTCACCAGGGTAGAACCACAGCACCTAGATCAGCTCACCAAGGTAGAACCGCAGCACCTAGATCAGCTCACCAAGGTAGAACCGCAGCACCTAGATCAGCTCACCAGGGTAGAACCGCAGCACCTAGATCAGCTCACCAGGGTAGAACCGCAGCACCTAGATCAGCTCACCAAGGTAGAACCGCAGCACCTAGATCAGCTCACCAAGGTAGAACCGCAGCACCTAGATCAGCTCACCAGGGTAGAACCGCAGCACCTAGATCAACTCACCAAGGTAGAACCGCAGCACCTAGATCAGCTCACCAAGGTAGAACCGCAGCACCTAGATCAGCTCACCAAGGTAGAACCGCAGCACCTAGATGAGCTCACCAGGGTAGAACCGCAGCACCTAGATCAACTCACCAAGGTAGAACCGCAGCACCTAGATCAACTCACCAAGGTAGAACCGCAGCACCTAGATCAGCTCACCAAGGTAGAACCGCAGCACCTAGATGAGCTCACCAAGGTAGAACCGCAGCACCTAGATCAGCTCACCAAGGTAGAACCGCAGCACCTAGATCAGCTCACCAAGGTAGAACCGCAGCACCTAGATCAGCTCACCAGGGTAGAACCGCAGCACCTAGATCAACTCACCAAGGTAGAACCGCAGCACCTAGATGAGCTCACCAGAGTAGAACCGCAGCACCTAGATGAGCTCACCAGGGTAGAACCGCAGCACCTAGATCAACTCACCAAGGTAGAACCGCAGCACCTAGATCAGCTCACCAGGGTAGAACCGCAGCACCTAGATCAGCTCACCAGGGTAGAACCGCAGCACCTAGATCAGCTCACCAGGGTAGAACCGCAGCACCTAGATCAACTCACCAAGGTAGAACCGCAGCACCTAGATCAGCTCACCAGGGTAGAACCGCAGCACCTAGATCAGCTCACCAAGGTAGAACCGCAGCACCTAGATCAGCTCACCAAGGTAGAACCGCAGCACCTAGATGAGCTCACCAGGGTAGAACCGCAGCACCTAGATCAGCTCACCAGGGTAGAACCGCAGCACCTAGATCAGCTCACCAAGGTAGAACCGTAGCACCTAGATCAGCTCACCCAGGTAGAACCGCAGCACCTAGATCAGCTCACCAGGGTAGAACCGCAGCACCTAGATCAGCTCACCAAGGTAGAACCGCAGCACCTAGATCAGCTCACCAAGGTAGAACCGCAGCACCTAGATGAGCTCACCAGGGTAGAACCGCAGCACCTAGATCAGCTCACCAGGGTAGAACCGCAGCACCTAGATCAGCTCACCAAGGTAGAACCGTAGCACCTAGATCAGCTCACCAAGGTAGAACCGCAGCACCTAGATCAGCTCACCAGGGTAGAACCGCAGCATCTAGATCAGCTCACCAAGGTACAACCGTAGCACCTAGATCAGCTCACCAAGGTAGAACTGCAGCACCTAGATCAGCTCACCAAGGTAGAACCGCAGCACCTAGATCAGCTCACCAGGGTAGAACCGCAGCACCTAGATCAGCTCACCAAGGTAGAACCGCAGCACCTAGATCAGCTCACCAAGGTAGAACCGCAGCACCTAGATGAGCTCACCAAGGTAGAACCGCAGCACCTAGATCAGCTCACCAAGGTAGAACCGCAGCACCTAGATCAGCTCACCAAGGTAGAACCGCAGCACCTAGATGAGCTCACCAGGGTAGAACCGCAGCACCTAGATCAACTCACCAAGGTAGAACCGCAGCACCTAGATGAGCTCACCAGAGTAGAACCGCAGCACCTAGATGAGCTCACCAGAGTAGAACCGCAGCACCTAGATGAGCTCACCAGGGTAGAACCGCAGCACCTAGATCAGCTCACCAAGGTAGAACCGTAGCACCTAGATGAGCTCACCAGGGTAGAACCGCAGCACCTAGATCAGCTCACCAAGGTAGAACCGCAGCACCTAGATCAGCTCACCAAAGTAGAACCGCAGCACCTAGATGAGCTCACCAGGGTAGAACCGCAGCACCTAGATGAGCTCACCAAGGTTCACCCAGATAGAACCGCAGCACCTAGATCAGCTCACCAAGGTAGAACCGTAGCACCTAGATCAGCTCACCAAGGTAGAACCGCAGCACCTAGATCAGCTCACCAAGGTAGAACCGCAGCACCTAGATCAGCTCACCAGGGTAGAACCGCAGCACCTAGATCAGCTCACCAAGGTAGAACCGCAGCACCTAGATCAGCTCACCAAGGTAGAACCGCAGCACCTAGATCAGCTCACCAGGGTAGAACCGCAGCACCTAGATCAACTCACCAAGGTAGAACCGCAGCACCTAGATGAGCTCACCAGAGTAGAACCGCAGCACCTAGATGAGCTCACCAGGATAGAACTGCAGCACCTAGATCAACTCACCAAGGTAGAACCGTAGCACCTAGATCAGCTCACCAGGGTAGAACCGCAGCACCTAGATGAGCTCACCAAGGTAGAACCGCAGCACCTAGATCAGCTCACCAAGGTAGAACCGCAGCACCTAGATCAGCTCACCAAGGTAGAACCGCAGCACCTAGATGAGCTCACCAGGGTAGAACCGCAGCACCTAGATCAACTCACCAAGGTAGAACCGCAGCACCTAGATGAGCTCACCAGAGTAGAACCGCAGCACCTAGATGAGCTCACCAGGGTAGAACCGCAGCACCTAGATCAGCTCACCAGGGTAGAACCGCAGCACCTAGATCAGCTCACCAGGGTAGAACCGCAGCACCTAGATGAGCTCACCAAGGTAGAACCGCAGCACCTAGATCAGCTCACCAAGGTAGAACCGCAGCACCTAGATGAGCTCACCAGGGTAGAACCGCAGCACCTAGATCAACTCACCAAGGTAGAACCGCAGCACCTAGATGAGCTCACCAGAGTAGAACCGCAGCACCTAGATCAGCTCACCAAGGTAGAACCGCAGCACCTAGATTAGCTCACCAGGGTAAAACCGCAGCACCTAGATCAGCTCACCAAGGTAGAACCGCAGCACCTAGATCAGCTCACCAAGGTAGAACCGTAGCGCCTAGATGAGCTCACCAGGGTAGAACCGCAGCACCTAGATCAGCTCACCAAGGTAGAACCGCAGCACCTAGATCAGCTCACCAAGGTAGAACCGCAGCACCGAGATGAGCTCACCAGGGTAGAACCGCAGCACCTAGATGAGCTCACCAAGGTTCACCCAGGTAGAACCGCAGCACCTAGATCAGCTCACCAGGGTAGAACCGCAGCACCTAGATCAGCTCACCAAGGTAGAACCGTAGCACCTAGATGAGCTCACCTGTGTAGAACCACAGCACCTAGATCAGCTCACCAAGGTAGAACCCTAGCACCTAGATCAGCTCACCAAGGTAGAACCGCAGCACCTAGATGAGCTCACCAGGGTAGAACCGCAGCACCTAGATGAGCTCACCAAGGTAGAACCGCAGCACCTAGATGAGCTCACCAGGGTAGAACCGCAGCACCTAGATGAGCTCACCAAGGTTCACCCAGGTAGAACCGCAGCACCTAGATCAGCTCACCAAGGTAGAACTGTAGCACCTAGATGAGCTCACCTGTGTAGAACCACAGCACCTAGATGAGCTCACCAAGGTAGAACCGCAGCACCTAGATGAGCTCACCATGGTAGAACCGTAGCACCTAGATGAGCTCACCTGTGTAGATCCACAGCACCTAGATGAGCTCACCAAGGTAGAACCGCAGCACCTAGATGAGCTCACCATGGTAGAACCGTAGCACCTAGATGAGCTCACCATGGTAGAACCACAGCACCTAGATGAGCTCACCTGTGTAGAACCACAGCACCTAGATCAGCTCACCAAGGTAGAACCGCAGCACCTAGATGAGTTCACCATGGTAGAACCGTAGCACCTAGATGAGCTCACCTGTGTAGAACCACAGCACCTATGGTAGTCAGACTGCAGGATGTGTTAGTTATGATGGTCGGCTGTGTCCATAAAGTGGAAATTACCCTTACTCTGTGACTTGTTGCTACAGGAGGTTCTGTCGGAGAAGCTGGACGACCCAGCGCTGATGTTTGACATCTGCAGCTGTCAGTTTGTGTACCATTACTCGTTTGAGAGCGAGCAGAAGGCCGACATGATGCTGAGGAACGCCTGCGAGCGCCTGAAGCCCGGAGGCTTCTTCATCGGAACAACGCCAGATGCCTTTGAGCTGGTGTAAGAAACAGCGCTGAAGTCCACAGACTGATGATGGAGGAACCTGATCATACACCGACACTTAACACCATCTCTGTTTCTGCTCCACAGGAAACGTCTGGAGGCGTCCGACTCTCTGGCGTTTGGTAACGAAGTCTTTAAGGTGTCCTTCCAGTCCAAAGGTTCTTACCCTCTGTTTGGATGTCAGTATCACTTCAGCCTGGAGGACGTGGTGAACGTTCCTGAGTCGCTGGTCTACTTCCCTCTATTTGAACAGTGAGAGCTTTTCTAAATATTCAGGCTCCGTCTGAATCATAGTTAGAGGCTGATCAAACTGCATCTCTGTGTTTGTGTCAGCATGGCGAAGCGCTACAACATGCGTCTGGTTCTGAAGCAGAGGTTCTCTGAGTTCTTCGAGGAGAAGGTGAAGAAGGAGCAGCACCTCAGCCTGATGATGAAGATGGCGGCTCTGGAGGTAAATTAAACTCTGGATGAATAACTGCTCTAAAGAAACACATACAGTGATCCGTTAAAATACACCTGTTGTACTTCCAGCCGTTTCCCTGTGAGGAAGGAGGTCGCCAGGCCACAGACAGCAGAGGAGAGTACTGCCATGCTAAAGAGCACTGCGGCAGCTCCGGACGTCCACTGGTGGGTCGGCTTTAGAACCGGGTCCCACTCTGTAGAACAGGCCCCAAAATTGTGTGTGTGTGTGTGTGTGTGTGTGTGTGTGTGTGTGTGTGTGTGTGTGTGTGTGTGTGTGTGTGTGTGTGTGTGTGTGTGTGTGTGTGTGTGTGTGTGTGTGTGTGTGTGTGTGTGTGTGTGTGGTGTGTGTGTGTGTGTGTGTGTGTGTGTGTGTGTGTGGTGTGTGTGTGTGTGTGTGTGTGTGTGTGTTTGTGTGTGTGTGTGTGGTGTGTGTGTGTGTGTGTGTGTGTGTGTCCGACTCTGTCTGACTCTGTCTGTTTGTTTTCAGGGAACTCTGAGCAGATCTGAGTGGGAGGCAACCAGTGAGTTCATTATTCCCAATTAAAGTCAAACCTGTGTTTTGAAAGATGTCTGTGTTGAATGTGATGTATAAACGGCTGCATGTTAACACCCCCCCCCCCCCCCCCCCCCCCCCTCCCTGCAGGTATCTACCTGGTGTTCGTCTTCCAGAAGATGTCCTGAAGCTGAACCTCGTCTCTGTACAGTGTTTCACTTTTTTCTTTTCCCGTCATCTTTTTGATAAACTATTAACTGTGTTGGGTCTCATTTCAGAATGAATAAAAACTATATGTAAAGTCAGTGCTTATTGTTGCTATCATCAATAATATGAATGAATATGAAATCAGAAGGCCCTCCTACAGCTCTGTAAAAATGAAGAGTCCACTGAAAATGTTTCTTGACCCTCGTAATGTCCTGCGACGGCCAGACACCTTCTGTCCTCCATCTGGTTTGGACACGTGATGGCAGGGGGACATCCGGGTGTTAGGGTTGGAAATTACTTTTTATATTGATGCTTATACTTTTGTACTTTTACTTGAGTGACATTTTAAAGGCAGGACTTGTACATGTGTCAGAGTATTGCAGCAGTCACACACTAACACTCCCATGAAGGCTGCAGAGACCTCAACTCACTTATTACATTATTTTGTTTGTGTGTATATATATATATATAAATATACATCCACATCCATGGCCTTCGCTTATTTTCTGTAAATAACATGGAGAATAAAGAAAAAATCTTTGTTTTGCGACTTTTGCTAAAATGCACCTAAACAGTTACGTTGTTGGTAAGATGTTCCAGTCAATACGACCAGGATACAATACTGACACACACACACACACACACATACCTGATATATTGTTTCAAAGCACCGAGAAGCCTCTGCTTCTGTTTTCCCGCACACTTTACCCTCCGAAGTGTGGGAACTTGCACAAGTATCATTCCAGAAGATTCTAAACATTAGAACATTTCGATCATCCCGCCATAGGAACTTTGACCCATTAGGAAGTTTTAGATGATGTAATTGAATCCAGAGTGATGAGACTTAGCATGGTCCCAAATGTAGTATTAAGCACAAGAGGTTAAGGGCAGTCCCATGGAGTCAAAATTAGATATTTTATTATATATTCATTTTAGGGCTGTCTTCTTCATTTCATTCTCTCTACCCCTTTCCAAACATAACGAACTAATCTCTTCTCATCCTGCACCTGTCCGCCGTAACCTTCGTTCCCTCTCCCCCTCTACCTTTGCCTCGTCGGTGCTCTCAGCCCTCCCTTTCTCTGACCCTTTCCAACTCCTGCCTCCAAACTCTGCTGCAGAAACTCTCCTCTCTACTCTCTCATCCTCTCTGGAGTCTCTCTGTCCTCTCACATCTCGGCAGGCTCGTCAGTCCCCTCCTGCTCCCTGGCTAAATGACGCACTGCGTGCTAATAGAACCATCCTTAGGGCAGCAGAGCGGAAACGGAGGAAATCCAAACACTGTGACGACCTCCTAACCTATCAGGCTCTCCTCTCCTCTTTCTCTGCTTCGATCTCTCAGGCAAAAAGCACTTTCTTTCAAGATAAGATCCAATCTTCCTATTCCAATCCCAAAAAACTATTTTCCATCTTCTCCACCCTCTTGGACCCTCCCAAAGCCCCTCCCCCCTCCTCACTTCTGTCAAGCGACTTTGTTAACCACTTTGAAAAAAAGGTTGATGATATTCACTCTTCTTTTTCTGACTCACCTTTACTCACCGCTGGGTCACCAGACCCTCCTTCCACCCACACACTAACCTCCTTTTCCCCTCTCTCTCCAAGTGAGGTTCTTACCCTCATTACCTCTGCCCGCCCTACCACCTGTCCTCTGGACCCTATCCCTTCAAACCTCCTTCAGACTATCGCTCCTGATATTCTACCGTTTCTCTCCCATTTCATCAACACTTCTCTAACTTCTGGTCACTTTCCAAACAGTCTCAAGGAGGCAAGAGTAAACCCTCTCCTAAAGAAACCCACTTTCAACCCGTCTGATGTTATAAACTACAGGCCTGTCTCTCTACTCCCGTTCCTGTCTAAAACACTTGAACGTGCTGTCTTTAAACAACTCTCCTGTTATCTCCATCAGAACAACCTTCTGGATCCGCACCAGTCTGGTTTCAAGGCAGGTCACTCCACAGAAACTGCCCTCCTTGCTGTCACTGAGGAACTGCACACTGCTAAAGCAGCTTCCATCTCCTCTGTCATCATCCTGTTGGATCTGTCTGCTGCATTCAACATGGTGAATCATCAGATCCTCCTTCACACTCTCCAAGAACTTGGAGTTTCAGGCTCTGCACTTTCCCTCCTCACCTCATACCTCAAAGACCGTACCTACAGGGTAACTTGGAGAGGGTCAGAGTCCGACCCTAGTCAATTAACTACAGGGGTCCCTCAGGGCTCTGTTCTTGGTCCCCTCCTCTTCTCCTTGTACACAAACTCGCTCGGATCAGTCATTAGCCCACATGGTTTTTCATACCACTGCTACGCTGACGACACCCAATTAATTCTGTCCTTTCCCCGCTCAGAGACCCAGGTCGTCGCACGCATCTCTGCTTGTCTAGCTGACATCTCTCAGTGGATGTCTGCTCACCACCTCAAGCTCAACCTTGACTAGACTGAACTGCTTTTCCTTCCGGGAAAAGATTGTCCCACTCTTGACCTAACAATCAACATCGGCACCTCTGTTGTTTCCCCGACTCAGACTGCAAGGAATCTGGGTGTGACCCTAGATAACAACCTGTCCTTCACTGCAAACATCGCTGCTACAACCCGCTGCTGCAGATACACGCTTTACAACATCAGGAGGATACGTCCCCAGCTGACCCAGAAAGCCACGCAGGTTCTGGTCCAGGCTCTCGTCATCTCACGCCTAGACTACTGCAACTCCCTCCTGGCTGGTCTACCTGCATGTGCCATCCGACCTCTGCAGCTCATCCAGAATGCAGCGGCTCGCCGGGTCTTCAACCTTCCTAAATGTTCCCACACCACGCCGCTCTTCCGCTCCCTTCACTGGCTTCCAGTAACTGCTAGAATCCACTTCAAGACTCTGGTACTTGCGTACCATGCTGCGAATGGATCTGGCCCTTCCTACATCCAGGACATGGTTAAACCGTACACCCCAGCACGTGCATTCCGCTCTGCATCAGCCAAACGGCTCGCTGCGCCCTCGCTGCGAAGGGTACCCAAGTTCCCATCAGCAGAAACACGTGGGTTTGCTATCCTGGCTCCAAAATGGTGGAATGAGCTCCCCATTGACATCAGGACAGCAGAAAGCTTACACACCTTCCAGACTGAAAACTCATCTCTTTCGACTCCACTTCGAGCGATAGAATTACTAACAAAGAACGTATATACTAATAAAGGACTGTCTTATCTAAAGCCAGTTGAGTAGAACTTGAAATGTTTGGCTCTATGAAACCTGATGTTCTTTATGATTCTGTTTTCTTCAAGGTTGTGTCTTCCTGGTCGAACGCACTTATTGTAAGTCGCTTTGGATAAAAGCGTCAGCTAAATACAATGTAATGTAATGTGCGGCGGGGTTAAAACCTGTACTCCTGCCCCCCTGAGGGGGTCTCCGAGGCTGCGTATCCAACACACTCTCACTCCATAATCGTCCAGGAGCGACGTTTGGTCAGGGTCCCTGTGGCATGCAGTTGTGACGCTCCTAGGCTCCTTCAGCTTCATAAAGGGACGCAAATAGCTTTCAACTGATTGCAATGTATTCCCATCTGCGGCGGGATTTGACGCTCATGGAAGCACGGCATTCGTTTGTGTCGGCAGCTCTTAAAGGCAATGTGAGCGTCCATTCTCATTGGATAACGGAGAATTGTACACCCGGAAGTAAGTATTCCCCTTACTGTCGATTGATTTTACAGTGATATCTGCACTACTCATCGACTAAAACACACCAGATTATCCTTGTTAATTACACAACATTGATTGGTTTAAATTGTGTGCAATGCTTTTGTATTTTTCCCTTCGATTCGGAGAAACAAATATTTTTTCGGAGTAAAGGATGGCAGAAGACACTACACTACCCAGAATCCCCAGCTATCGTTTGGACTACACCATGTGCTCTGTTTGACGTCACGTGATCTTCACATTTCTCCCTGCAGAAAAGAAAAACATGGCCGAACTTCGTTTTATTCTCGGTGGAAAATGCCTATTTTAAAGTTAGTTTGGCCATTAAAATGCGTTTTGATGTCATTTGATGCGAAAAATATGAGTTGTTATTTCAGATGATGTGTGCAGTGGATGTACATGATCTTTAGTTTGCTCGTTATTACGAAGATTACTTCAGGAAATTGCGTCCATAGAACGTTTTCATTGTTCCCAAGGTGGTTGCTAGGGACGCTGCTATCGATATTATTTCTGTTATGTTGTGTAACTGTTTAATGGTGTTATCTTTATTGCTACCCCCTTCCCCGTCAATGTATAGTGTTGGTCCACAGCGCAAACGTATTAGTTTAACAAAATCCGCATCTAAAGATACGTTATTTTCCCCTGTGCAATTCCAGTCTCACATCTCACAGCACATCGTCATTAACAAATAACGAAAACAGACCGAAAACATTTAAAAAAATAAATAAATACTTTATTCCGAGTGTGCTTGCTTTTCTCTTTGAAAGTCATCACATAACGGCATTGTAATACACGGTTCGGCTGCATTAAATATTACAGATCTGCCGTAGTTCTGTATTTATAGAGCCCTGATGAGAAGACTTCTAGACAAACATGAGGAACTGAAAACGTGACGTGGATCATAAATATATCAGCAATTAAACAACATATTACATTTCTTTTCACACAATACGTCTCCTTGCAGTATCAACACTAATTCGGCAGACTTTTATATTTGATCCAATTGGTAGATAGGCTGTATTTACACCATAAAGGTGCACAGCTGATAGAAAGGAACACCTAGTGGTTAAAGCATGTTATTGAATTTCATTATTTTTATTATTAGATATTAATAGGATCCCTATGTAACGATCAACTATCTAAAATAGTTGTGTTAATTAAACGCATAAGGGGTTCTTGAATGAAATAATATTATAAAGGTAAACAGAAATAATTAAAACTGCGGTCGCACTTGTGCGCGCAGTGATGAGCGGGCTCTCGCGTCCGTGCGCCTGTCGGGGAGGGCAGCCGGTCGTCCCGGCGTCAAGCAGACGCGCGCGAGTCCTGGGAAATGAGCCGTTTCTCATTTCTAGAATTTTCGCGTCCCAGACTCCCAGGTCCTCCGGCAGCGACCCGGAAACGGATGTCGAAGGAAAACAAA